ACCAATTTGGTTGTACTGTTCCTTTTACAGGTTTTCTACGCCAAATAACCTCTGTTGCGTGACTGTCAAATAATTAGGAATTTAAACATATTTTGCATAACAGTCTCTTAAATTGCTGTAATGTTTAAGAATAAATACGAGAGCATTCTCAAATCACGGCACTGGCAAATCAGAGGCCACTTCAGCTCACTTTTTCTATGTGCTTGTTGCAGATCTCTGTTACGATTTATCATAGCAACGGAATTCATTCCGAGGCACTACTCAGAACACTCAGACAAAAACCAATTTAGAAAAATCCATTTAGGAACACGCAGTAAATAATAACAACGAGAAAACTAACCTATACTCTAGCCAAATTCGATATAGAACAAATGTCAACATACAAAAACATATGCTTTTTGGGGTTTTCATCTCTGACTCTTTCACAGTTACAACAATTTCAATACTTTCCTACGAAATTCAAATAGGTTACGAATAATACTACATCTTAAAGTATTGTTACCACCTAAAAATGACATAATAGTTAATTATTTGTAAAACTGTGTCATCCGTAGTGACTTTTTTGATTTGAAGGGAGAGATTGCAAACATTCGAGTTCTGGTGGTAATTCAAGTTCAGAATCGGAAATAGATGCTGGATGATATAATATGTAGTAAATTAATATCAAATAAAATCTTATAATTTTGTAAAGTTTTGTAAACTTTATAACAATTGGTTAGGTAAGTATTACTTCGACATAACCCAATTACCTATTTACCTAGTTAAATTCCAATTACGAGAGCAGGCCGTGGGCAGAGCTAGCCTTAATAATGAGCATTGAAAGAAATGTTGTTTTCCTATGCCATAATTGGCCTAGCAACGTTTTGTTATTAAACATTGTACATCGAATTTTGGTTAGAGCGTAGGTATATATTATTTTGAATTACTATACTATAAATATCATACTTAAACATAATATTCAACGATTTGCTTGTCAATAACGTTCTTGTTATGTGTCATATGCCTATATGATTACAAAATAAACCAGAACCCTTTAACTCCCTCCCACGCCCGCTCTGAGCCACCGAAATGAGAAAACTTAGCTCGGCACAGACGTATCGTAAACTTCAACATTGTATAAATAAAAATATATTAAAGGGAATTCTTGACCGCAAAAAAATAGGTGGTGTTCACCTTTATCGGATTTTTATCTAATAGTATAGCTGTGTTTGGTTCACTTCTCAATCGACTCACTGAAACAGCTACAAAGAATCGTTACAAGTGGTGATAACCTACTGAGTGAGCTATTAAATTATTAGCAGTAAAGCTCTTCGTGAAAGAATTAGGGCGATGCCACACGATGCGTCGCGTAGGCGGCGTTGCGACGCCTGAGCGGTGACACTCCGTTGTACTACATATTATACGTTCTTGCCACATGGTGCGTTGAATTGAAACGGTACGTAACGACCAGGAGACGCTGCAGTGCGTAAGTAAACGGCGTTAAATTGGGACACCGCATTGTTCGTGTGGCACTCGGTGCGTCGAAATCATACGCGTTGCGATGACGCAACGCACCGGCAATGGCCCGTTTCTCTAAGACAAAATCGTCGCCTTACTCGTACCTTAAACGTCGAACTCGTATCTTAAAGCACAGAGTTACTGAAATGCAAAAATGTACAAATTTCGCAAGCTGATTTCACATGACATGAATCCAAATTAACCCCGTTGATAATAAATTTAAAATAAATAGAAAGTTTTGCCGTCTCCTGAATAATTACTTTTTATAAGATACGAGTTTGAGAAAGTAAGGCATTGATGTGTTTCTCTAAGGGCAAATTCGGATCGATATCGGCGCAGCGGCGTGTCGCTTACCAGCAAGCACACGACTTGTTCGTTCCATCACTTGATATTATAATCAGTACAGAGTACTAAAAAAACCGACCTCAAAAGCACGTGGAATTACGTCTATTTGCTAAGTTTCATTGAAATATCTCCTAGTTCGCCACTATACAGGATTTGATACTGGAGATAATAAAAATACGTTCTCACTACGACAAAGTATACTACTCAAAGTATATCGAGAGAGAAACGCCTGGAATTGGAGAAATAGCAAAATCAACTAAATAATTGCTAAAAGTAATTGCTCCTAAATAAAAGTTAGGCGCTATTTATAAAAATGAATCTTCATGCGTGAACAGCCACCCTTTGAGATGGATGATTTTCTTCAAAATGAAATGGGACCACTATGGAAATACCCCCTTTCCAACAAAAAAAGAATCATGATAATCGGTTCACAAATACCGGAGTTATCGCGTAACATACATACAAAAAAAAAAGAACATACAGTCGAATTGAGAACCTCCTCCTTTTTTGAAAACGGTTAAAAAACAACACAATATACTTCAACTGGAATTAAGAAATAAAAACAAATGTGTAATTAAGGTGATATCATTGACCTACCAACAAATGGACGTAGGGTCTAATACAAAAACAACGAAAAAAATGTCCTATATACTATATATATAGTATATATATATATATATATAAATATATATTATATATATATAGTAGTTAACCTATATAAACGTAGGGATATGTAACGAAATATAAAAAACTAAAACATTTCATTTAAATTGTAACGTCATTGCAGTACTGCCTAATTTTGCTTGCAACTATTTAAGGACCCAAAAACACCATATTCAGCTTCCACTGGAAATTTAACAAAATGCACCATATTTAGCTTCGATTGTGAGTTATCCGTCCGTCATCCGTTATTTTTAGTTTTTTTTTATAATGCACACACTCAATATAGCCCCGCACTAGGGAAACCCTGTGTCGCGGGTGCCATGGACACACACATAGACAACCACAAGTAAGAGAAATAATTCTAGGCCATACAACTATTTCTCCCGGCCCGGGAATCGAACCTGGGACCTCTGCGTGGCAGTCCGGCATGGTAACCGTTCGGCCACCGAGGCAGTTCGATTGAAAATTACTTGAACATAAGAGTAATGGAGTAGCCTTTATCGTAAATATTAATTAATTTTTATATACCTATATATTATTATGTCGAATTTTGTGCAAATTCACTTAAAGAAATAATAAAGAGTTGGGCAGATACAAACATACAAATAATACTACAAATGTGAAAGTAAGCGTGTACTATAAGAAATGTATTCTATTATATATGTATTATATTATTAATGATATTCCAACTAAACGTAAACCGTAATTCCGAAAACCGATTTAGTTTAGTTTTGCAATCTTCCTAAAAAAATACATTTGACATTTTATTTCGTTAGCTCGAATTAAACGCCATTAATAAAAAATATTTTTTTAAATAAGATTAAAATCAAAACGACTCTATAGTTTCTTTGTTCTAAATATTTCAATCGCTTGCGGTTCCAATAATTGAAAATGACCAAAAAGTTTATATAAGCTTCTTGAAATTGACGTAAGGGTCTCTTTCCATCTTTTGCGCATGCAATGTGTAGAAAAAGGACAGTTAGCTATTTGATTATTTTGTGTACTTTTGTAATTTATATTTACTATTCATTTATATATAAATTAGATACGATAAAACTGTACAAAATAACACTTTTAAATGAGAACTATGACAACACAATATATTTGTTTAGTGAAAATATGATACAAAATCCTGTTTTTACACTTTACTGCGGTAATTTTTACAAGTTATTATTATATGGTACTGCATGATTGACAACCGCGCTGTCACTCGAACAAATGAAGACTGTTGCGCGATTGACGCTCTGTATGCGATTTTAACGCCCTATACGTGCGGACACTTTTTAGCGCGAACCCAACGTCCATTTATTGGTAGGTCAATGGGTGAAATGTTCTATTTTTGGTTCACCCACACAACGCAGTGCAAGACAAATGAACGGAATGACTTGACATAAAGACTGACATGAGAATAAATGGAGGAATACGATATTTCTACTTTATTCATCGAATAGCCTTTTCCTATGAGAACTTTTGTTATATACACACATAGTTCACAAACTTTCAAACTGTATTGTTAGTTTAGTCAGTTCACGTATTTAAATTTGGTTTTCTTTTTCACTATTGTATAACCTTAATCTTAAACTTAATTTTAACCTCTGCAATCATAGTATTAAGAGAAAGAGTAAGTTGTCTGTGGTGACAGACCTGGTATCCTATATTACAAGCTTATGCTTAGTTTAGGTACCAGTTTTTTGCAAACATAATATAAACACTATTTTTGTCTATCCTTCTTTTGTTCATGTTCAGTTGTTATGTTTGTGGAGAGAAATAAATACATTATTATTATTGTTATTATTATTATTATTATTATATAGACTAATTTCAATATATCGCACACTAAACCAAATACTGTCGTAACTCAAAATTGCGGAATTAAGCAAACACAACTCAAAATTTAAAAAAATATTTATTCTGAATAAATATAAAAATAATAATTACACAACATAGCATTTATTGCTCTGATCCCAAAGTATGCATGCAGTATGCTGAATTCGAAAAAGCGCCTTTTTTAAAAAAAAAAAGTGCGCCTTTGACCTCCATCTCACCTGATGGAAAGTGACGAGGTCGAGGATGTAGCATGCACACTTAAATAATGCCTATTCACTCTCGCCTTGAAAAGGTCCAAGTTATAGCGTTCGGGGAACAAGTCTGCAGGCAGGGAATTCCACTCCCTAGCCGCTCGCCATACAAATGTGGAAGCGAAACGCTTCGTGCAAATCCGGGGAATATCCACAACATAGGGGTAGAATCCCCGCCCACGTCTAGTCTCCCGATGATGAAAAAATGAAGGCGGAATCAAATTATAAATAATAAATAATAAATAAAATAAAATAAAATAAAATTCATTTATTTCGGGCAGCAAAAACCCATATTATAGACAATACATTCACTACATATTACATTATTATTACCTGAAATTTAATGCATAATAAAAATAAAATTTACAAAATATTACAAAACACAAACTATCATTATAAAATTATTTAACTTATGAACTAAGTGTTTGAAACAACATGCAGGCGACAAGCTTGGTTCATATATGGACAGTCGAACCTGTCCGCAATCATGCGCATGATGGTGTTGGGGCTGACCCGTACCCTACTCACCAGTGCCAATGCGCGTTTGCGCATGGTTGAGTAAAAACAGTCGACGTGAGCCGCTGCGAACATGCCCGAGGCGCTGCAGTATCGGGGCAGCCCCATCAACACCCTAAACGCATTATTGTATTGGACACGGAGGGCCCTATATGCCTTCTGAGAGTACGTCTCCCACAGGCTGCATGTGTAGAAGGAAGTGCAAAATGCCCTGAACAATGCAACTTTCACTTCTACGGAACTACGAACAAACCTGCGGGCTATCATGTTGGCTCTGACCGATAAAGCCCTCCGTTCCCTCTCAATGTCCATATCATCCTTCAGATCACTGGTGACCCAGTGACCGAGATACTTAAATTTCTCGACTCTGTCAAGAGGAGCACCGATTAAGCTAACAGGCGGCACACTCATCAACTTCCTATGGCCAATACCGAACACCATGTACTGACTTTTGGTCGTGTTGTATATTAGTCCATGTCTATCTGCATACGATTGACAAATGCTAAGTAGTGATCTGAGTCCGCACACAGACGCGCTCAGCAGCACCATGTCATCTGCGTAGCTGAGGTTGTTAACAGCCACCCCGTCGACATGACAGCCAACACGACTACCACTGAGCTCGACTAACAACTCGTTCATGTATAGGTTAAACAGAGAGGGAGATGTTAGTCCTCCCTGTCTAACCCCACACTGTAACCTGTACGGCTCAGACCATGCCCCCAACCACCTGACCCTGTTGACCTGGTTTCCATACCAATACTTGAAGATGTTAATAATATCATTCGGCAAGTTTATAACCTCAAGTTTTTTCCACAGTATGTCGTAGGAAACCAGATCAAAAGCCCTTGACAGGTCGAGAAAGCAAGCGATTATGCAACTCCATCGCACACTCTCCGTGATATATCCTGTAGAATACCGATAAGCTGGCAACTCTACGACAGTGTTCAAGGCTCTGCAGCTTCGTTTCTACTAGTTACGAGTCACCTATAAGCCTCTTAGCACACTTGTCTATTGAATCCAAGATGGCCAGTTGGTATTTAGCAGAGCCATCCCATAAGTGGCACCAGTACACCATACACGACCGGACTTGTGCTTGGTACAGCTGAAGCAACTATCCCGGTGTGAAGTATCGCGTCACCTTGGAAAGGATGCCAAGTTTCTTGGCTGCAGTTTCGGCCACGGATTCAATGTAACTGCCGAAGTTCAGATTGGACGCTGGCTATCGGTATGGATATATCACGAAAAGTTGGAGACAGATAAAAGGCACTCCGTTTAGTAGAGAAAAGACACTCTTGTGTTTTGGTAGCATTAAACTTGACAAGATTGGCATCGCCCCAATCGGAGACTGCCTTAAGTGTCAAATTCAAACGACTAACCATGGACTCTCGACAAGACTGGATTTCTTCTCCACTGACCCTTGCATCCTTCAAGTAATCCGTGGCAGACGCTCTCCCAACTGAGCTACGGAACAAACCACCAGACTTTACGGATTCTACTATATGCTTGTTGCAGATCTTTGTTTATGGTTTGTACGACTTTTTTGCTGTAGCGTCATGTGAGAAATCTATAATATCTTCACTCACGTTCGTGGAATGATTTTATAAAAATAATAATCGTGGTAATAAGATATCGTGATATTCAATAAAACTTAAAAATATACATGATTGTTTATTAAGTACTAACAACATCACAGGATTATATTAATAACATCATAAACAACAACTTTTGTTCCATGACTTTTAATAATTTGTCAAATTTACTTTTTTTTATATATCGCACTGCTAATATAACGGGACGAACAAGTCGTACGCCTGGTTGTAAGCCACACGTCTGTTCTTAACAGTTGCAGTGTTACCCAGAGCTGTAAATCATAAAGATCTGGGGGCACCGCCATAGCGCCCGTCACCCTGAGACATAAGTTGACAAGTCTCATGTGCCTGTAATTTCACCAGCACCCTTACCCTTCACAACCGGAACACAGTAATGTGACCATCACTGCTTGGCGATAGAAATAGGTAAGGTACTTTCGTACAAAAATGAAAATATTTAAATAGATCGCTCTAATCGGTAATAAGTCTGTGCTGTAACAAAAGAAAGATCTAGCGTGAATACCAGTCCCCAGAGTGGAGGACGACGCTTGCACATTTAAACTTATTACCGTACTTGTGTAATAAACAGTGCTTGTGTAATAAACAGTTTTCTTTCTTTCTTTCTTACTACCAAATGCCAGGGGACCTACTATAACCTTTACAAAAACAATCTTATTTCAATGTAAGCTTAAAGTAAGCTTATTGTAATATTACTCATATTTGTACCGTGACGAACCTGTCAACCAAATAATGTATTATTGCAAATGTGAATGAAAGAACGAATGATTTCCCAATATTGTCTATTCCTCATTAAAAATAGAAAAGAGATAACGCTATATGAACTATATAATGTCATGTCTTTCTTTTTTGATGTTCCAAATCGTCTATCGTAGTATAATGTTTAAGTACTTAATGTTATTTACATTTAGAGAACTTTGACTGTTAAAAAAAGAAAAGTATGTAATAATAAAATATATTAAAATTACGTTGTTTTCAATAATTATTCGGCATTTTCAAGAAGAAAAATAAATAAAACAATCTGGGTCTTGATAGTCACGTTGTGAATTCAGCATCGAATATACTCGATGGAATTTAGAATTATAGTCTAATGTCAACTGTTAGTTTCGCCAAGGAGCATATAGATGGCGCTGTTATAATTTTACGAAATAAACATCGCGTATTTTTATTTACCGAAAAATTATTTACTGTGTGCTAATAAATAAAAAATAAACAAAATATTGGAGAGATATATGTAAATAAGTAATTTCAACTTAACTTTTAATCATTACAAATCAATATTAAGACAATAAAACTAAAAATAATATTGTTTCCATTGCATCCGTGTAACGATTTTAAGATTGCTAAATTTGACATAAGAGCTATATTACTTTAATGTTAAAGTTAAGTCGCGTCATAGTACGAACTGAGTGAATGAATAGTCACAAAGCTGCCAATAAAACTTCATAGTTTTAACATTACAATAACCTTACTTTAAGCGAGTTATGGTACGAAAAGTCAATGTAAGATTAAAGTAATAATAATATTGTTTTAAGAGGTTGTGGTAGGCCACCAGATCTAAAACGGTTCAGATTATATTTACATTTTTTTTAAAGTTATGAAACAAAAATTGTTGTTCATGATGTTAGTAATATTGTCCCTTAAGTATAATATTTACAATTAGTAGTTTATGTGACTGGTACTTAATGAGAGGCATTAAAATACGAGTGTGGGTTCATAAAAACATCACACGAGTGTTTTAACTGCCTCTGTGGCCGAACGGTTACCATGCCGGACTGCCACGCAGAGGTCCCAGGTGCGATTACCGGGCCGGGAGAAATATTTTTATAGCCTACATTTTTTTCTCGTGAGTTTGGGTGTTATTTGTGGTTGTCTATGTGTGTGTCCATGGCACCCGCGACACAGGGTTTTCCTAGTGCGGGGCTATGTCGAGTGTATGTCGAGTGTGTGCCTGAATATGTACAATTACATGCACAGCTTTATCTATACACATAATATTATAAGATCTCTATGATGTGTTCAAGAACCGCATGTTACGACTGGCGAAATGGCGGCAAATAGAAACTTTTCTCACGCATGTCACACAACCGTAGTTTTGATTTAATTCATAGACAAACTTGAGTCGGCCTCAACTATCATATCGTTCGATATCAAGTAATGTGTGAAATTTGTCAAAATTGTTTGCTATTGACTTAGAGCATATAAGACGGGACTACTACTACTACTACAAGCAAACAGGTACACTCAAATGCAAAATTGAATCGTGTCACTATGGTCTCACACAAACAAAAGGCTACAACACTAGCTTATAGATAAAACACACATTCATGTCATGTCCGTACACAGAATAGGCCTATAAAAATAAATTGATTCTTATGAATATACTAGAGACGGAAAGTTATCGACGTGACGGTGTCGATATGTATTACGTACAGTTTAATCATGTATATGAAAAACGTAATTCCACACTTGGCTAGACTGGATGTAGATGATTTCTTTTTGCAATTTTGTGAGTAGTGTAACAGTAGTATTGTTTTACTTGTATTTGCCAGAGGAGATTGCCCATTGACTTACCAATAAATGGATGACAATAAATACAATCCAAAGTCTAATCCAAAAACCGTGAGAAAATGTCATGTCAGTTTATGGCTTTTCGCGGTCTGCGTTGGAGCCAATGACAAGCATGGCCGGAGTTAACCTCTACAAACGTAGTGACATGTATAGAAATATTAAAAAAACTGAAACATTTAATTTAAACTGCAAAGTCATTGCAGTATTGCTTAATTTTGTTTGCCACAATTTAAAGGCCCAAAAATTATCCATTCTCAGCTTCTACCGAAAATATCAAAATGTGGTCCATTTAGCTTCTAGTGAAAACTACTTGAACACAAGAGTGATGGAGTAGTCTTAATGTCAATATTAATCAATGTTATAGTAATATGTTCATTGACCTACCAACAAATGGACATCGGGTCTAATACAAACACCACGAAAAAATGTGCGAAGTTAACCTATACTAACGTAGTAACATGTAACGAAATATAAAAATCTAAAACATTTAATTTAAATTGTAACGTCATTGCAGTACTGCCTAATTTTGCTTGCAACAATTTAAGGGCCCAAAAACACCATATTCAGCTTCTACTGGAAAATGAACAAAATGCACCATATTAAGCTTCGACTAAAAATTACTTGAACACAAGAGTAATGGAGTAGCCTTTCTCGTAAATATAAATTAATTTTTACATATATTATTATGTCGAATTTGGTACAAATTCACTTAAAGATAATAATAAAGAGTTGGACAGATACATACATACAAATATTGTACAAATGTGAAAATAAGCGTGTACTATAAGAAATGTACCGATATTCGAACTAAACGTAAAGTCAAATATTCGTAAATCCGAAAACCGCTTTATAATAAAACCGTTACGCTTTCGAGTAATTTTGATGCTTTTCACAAAGACAAAATTAGCTTTTGTTTTGTAATCTTCCTAAAATATACATTTGACATTACGAAAATTCTAGCTTACGTTATTTCGGGCAAATGTATTTTCTGACTTCTGATAGGTAATCCCAAGCCGTAAAATGAGTACAACAATATTTTGTTAGTTATTGCTAACGTTTAATAAAAAAAAATCATTTTAAAAATAAGGTTAAAATCAAAGCAACTCTATAGTTTCTTTGTTCTAAATATTTTAACCGCTTGTGGTTCGAAGAATTGAAAATAACCAATAAGTTTATATAAGTTTCTTGAAACTGACGTAATGGGTCTCTTTCCATCTTTTGCGCATGCAATGTGTAGAAAAAGGACAGTTAGCTATTTGATTATTTTGTGTGCTCTTGTAATTTATATTTACGATTCATTTATATACAAATTAAATACTATAAAACTGTACATAATAACACTTTTAAATGAGAACTATGATAACTCAATATATTCGTTTAGTGAAAATATGATACAAAATCCTGTGTTTACACTTTACTGCAGTAATTTTTACAAGTTATAATTATTGGTACTGCATGATT